ACGTGCACCCCCCCCCCCCCCCGCGTTGTGCTTTAATGCCCTTGAATCATCCACTGCTAACAGTGGCACGCAGCCAAACTGGCACCGCGGCTGCCACGACTTCTGTTGGCATGGTGATGGGTCTTTGTCGGAAAACGTCTTTAGCCTAACCAGGCCCAAAGATTGCTGAACGTCAAGCTGCGTGACACACGCGTTGCCATTAAACGTAGTCGCTGCCACTTAATCAAGAAATAAGTGTTCATACTTTTGAAACGAGAACGGCGGCGGACATTTTGCAAGGTCTTGGAATCGATCTGCTCAAGCTATTCATTTGAGCAGAAGTGGATGGCTCACGGTGCAAAGGCTTACTTTCCTCTCGACACGTGCCATCTTTTGGCGTACACGTGTCATCGGTATTTGGTTTCCGATGGGGAGTCGCAGCCAATTTCAGAATGTCATTTCACTGCTAACTGATCATTTAAGTGCACGCCGCCAGCGTGTGTGCCAGACGTAGACATAAAAGTTTCTTTTTTTGACATGAATGTGCCGTTCTTGCTCGTCGATCCAGGCCCACGGGTTTGGAATGTACATTTGATTCCAGTCTTCGATTAGTTCATGTTTCGGGGACTATCGACGTCAATGAGAAATTCTAAATCAACATGACAGGCTCAGTTCGAGCTGTCGTGTTTATTTACTTCGAGCTCAGTTGTGCAGCTTCTGTCATATACCTTTATAACGGCCATACGTCTCAATGGCAAGTTTGAACGCTAGGCAGCGACCTTGGGGGTGCTTATATTCAGCCACTCGTGAAAGAAACGCATTGAGAAGTCAATACACCTCCTGAAAAATCTGCATTTCTCAAATATGCCACTCTGGTGTAATAAACAGGCACAGAACGCTGGAATGTGTGAGCTGCCCCCCCCCACCCCCATTACAACATATGCATAGCTTTGTGTATCCGAATGCACAAATGGAGACGCACTACCGCCTGGTTGTCTTCCTGTCTTCTCCTTTCATTTCCCTGAACAGCTCGTTGCAGTTGCCTCATCAGCACCAGTTCCGCTCATGCGTCTCGACCATGTGCCTCCCCTCATGTCCGCTCAAAAGACAGATCATGTTCGTCGGGTCGAGGCAAACGGGCCTCTCTTCAAATGGCTCTCAGACTAGTTTGTGCAGTGATGGGAGAAGTATTTTTCTTGTCACTAAAAAAAAAAAAAAAAAATGTAACAGAAAGCAGTTACCAATGAGAGAGGCCTCATTGTATTTGATGTAAGCGATTTAATGTGACGTACAGCTGCTATTTTATTTTTTTTCTTAAACCAATGCTATCTAGGTCACCCGCACTCCAGCGTGTTCTCCGTGTTTTAACAGCTCCCACCGCCTTGTATGATTTGGGTCAGAGTTAACGAGCACCGCACGTTCCTCCAGTTACTCTCGACTGTTACAGGATGTCAAAAAGCCCTCGACAAAAGCTATCTCTTATTTATATTTTTGCTCATTTTAGTGCCGTCTCTTGTGTGTGTAGGGGGGTAAAAAAAAAATAAAAAAATCGGATGGAGGTTGATTTGATTTTTGCTAGCATTTCATGATTTGCCTCCATCAACCTACTGCCGTCTTTATCAGCCTGCCTGCATTTCGCAAACCACCTCTGGAGATTGTTATTTCCTGCCCGCGTCAGGATCCGCACACCGTAAAGTGACTTTTGAACGGAAGCGGGCATGCTGTGAGGAAAACCTGGCCACCCTGAGCCTGAACATTAGGCAGTCATCAGTCATGCATGTCATTGATTTGTCTGAGGAAGAGGTTGCGTACCTCCACTGAGCCAAACAGACCTGAATATTGCCGCATTTCGAATCGAGTCAAGTGGCATCAAGTGCCTATCAATATTCACTGCAAACAATTATAGAGCATTCAAGACCCACAAGATTTATCTTGAATATTTATGTAAATTCCAAATCGACCAAATCGAATATTAGACTCTTTCATCTCACCGGGGGGGGGGAAAAATGGATTCTGCCTTTTTCGGTTCTTTCCAAAATCAGCTGTAGAACAACAAAAGCAGGTTGAACAAAATGAAACCGTTTCTCCGGCTGAACTCACAAACTGGGCTGATCTCGGATCTAAAATGGTGCATCGCTGACATCTACTGGTGGTTGTGGGTCAGTAAAGTTTAAAGCCCAAGCTTGAAATTTACAGTGGAGCATCATCAAATCCTCCCCCACCCAAAAAACATAACTGACAGGTATACTCGTCAGTGGCAGTGAATGAGTTAAGTAACAGGTGTCAAAGTCAAGGGCTGGGGGCAGATTCGGCCCGCCACGTCACATTATGTGGCCCGCGAAAGCAAATCCTGATCCTTGCTAAAATCTGTACTGAAATATCAAACTGTCACGTGTAATAAATAACGTTGACATTTTGCAATCCTTTTGTTAGCCTCGTTCAATTATGGCTCCCGACCGGGCAATGGAAGGCGCCTTCTGTGCTGTCCAGCTTGTGTGTGAATTGCGCTGAATGTCGAACCCCGTTATTCCTTCCGGGCCAAGGCTTACCGTGCGCGGCCCAGGGCCGACGCAACGTTTGTTCAACGGAGCCACTTTGGCACCTTACGCTGGTCATCTTTTGTTACAAAATGCCCCCCAGCTTATGAAGCGGGACATGACTGTCACAACCAAGCCGAGCAGCTCTCCCCACTGTGTAACCTTGTGTCACCGATGACGTCAATTCCCACGCTTGAGTCTTATATTCAGGCCATATGGGTGCGTGTGTGTGTGTGTGTGTGTTTTGTTCTAAATTAGTTCTTATCATCGCCTTCCAATCAAAAATCGGGTGGTCTTATGCGGCCATACAAGCTGCTATGAGCCCCTGATTTCAAACTGAGGTTAATTTTCTTTTTTCTGGGCTAATTAGATTCCTGCCTTAAGAAATGGAAGACTAACTTCAGGGGCCTTTGCGTAAATGTGCCGCTTCTTAACACGTTAATCAGGTTTTAAGCAAGCAAAAAGATTAAGATAGCTTCACATCGGGAGAGACTGGAAACAATGTTTTTAAAAAAACAAAGAAAAAAAAAACGTTTCAGCTTTGGTTTCATTCAATACAATATTGTAAAAGTAATAATTGTGAAAAATAAACATGGATTTCAGTTAAAGCGGGTTCTTTTTGTCATGTAACCGCCACGATAAATGAGAGATTACTGTATAAAAAAAATAAAAATAATAGTGGACTTGTAAAAATGGACCCATGAGGAATAATGAATACGCCCTGAAATTTAACAAAAGCAATTTTAACTTATGATCGAACACAACACAACTCAAAAGGTGACACGATTGTCGCGATAAACGAGAGATTACTGTATAAAAAAATATATATATAACAGTGGACTTGTAAAAATGGACCCATCAGGAATAATGAATACGCCTTGAAATTTAACAAAAGCAATTTCAACTTGTGATCGAACACAACACAACTCAAAAGGTGACACGATTGATTGTTGTTTTCTGGCGGTTGTTGGCTAGTTATTAGCCGGCTAGATACTAGCGGCTAAACTGCGAATGTTCATGAAAAAAAGCTTAAAATAAAACATATATTTAATCATCCAGCCCTCTTTATGGCCTTTGGAAGGTAATAAATGGGGTCGGGGGGCAGGTTTTAAATGACATTATTCCGATATTTTTATTTTATATTTTTTGCTGCATAGTGAGACAGTTGAGAAGCGTGTCATGGTAACATCAAGACCAAAAATAAATGGAATCAAGATTAGAATCAGCCTTTGTCCAATGTGGATACAAATCCCATCTCTGCTATTTCCGAGATTGTACACGGCCCGCTTTCAATGCGAGCTTCTTGTCACGATGAGTCCACCGAGATCCCGCTAAACCGTAACAAGCCCACGATGCCGACCACATATGCCGCTCGCACGTTGAGAGAATTGGTGACACCGTGACTGTTTTACATGCGTGCCGTTCAACTTTAAATAAAGCGGAACGATGAAGCCTGTCTAAAACGTCATCTTCACAACAACCTTTTGGAACGATGGCATGAAAACATTTCAGCTTCATTAACACGGACTCATTACCACTCTGATGAGATGGCAACGCTGGAGGAAAAGTCAAGCAAAGTGATTAGTGTTCATACTGAAGGCAGATTGTTTGCTCAATTGTACCAAATTTCATGGCAATCCAGCCAAATTTTTGTGGTATTGCAGTGCGGACTAAGCACAGTCGCATTGGCTGAAAATGGAGGGATGAATGCCAGTGGAATGAAAATAACTGTTTTTTTTTTCCCCTTAAGGAAAGCAGAATAAGAGCATACCATTTAAATACAATAGAAACAAAAATGGGGACATGCACAATAGCGTGGAGCTATAAACTAAACTCCTTGCCAAAACCGAAATTCTGGCGCTAAACTTAAGATCCTTCTTCTCCTTTGCCTTTCTTACGTTCCAAGGCGGAGGAAATGCCGGCATCTGAGCTCACCCTGCTTAACCACGGCTCATTGCTTCCCCCTATCCTGACAAGATGGAGGGTCTCTGACTCGGATGGAACAGTCAAGTGTCAGAGTGTAAGCGGAAGAAGGAAAACTCATCTTTCTCTTTGGATGTT